TTGCTATGCGTATAAGCATAAATACCACATACTTGTGCGACGCCTAGCTTTTAGTTTTACTGAAGTTTGCGCAGACTATGAAATGTTTTTACATGTGGAAAATGTTCTATGATAGATATCGTTTTGTCAGACACTTTTCTTTTTTTTATTTGGTTCTTATAATATGCCAAAAATCTGTATATTTAACAGAGTTGAACATTTAAATTGTGCGTTTTACTCTTAAGACGTATAACCGACCTGATTAACAGACCAACCGCCCATATAGCCGCATACTCAATATAGATTAACCGACCAATCTCTCGGTTAGCCGAGTGTCGGCCGTGGTATTATAGACCAAAAACAAAAACGCACCAGTTGATGTGCTAAGCATATCCTCTATGTACATATTGAGAGAGAAAAATCGGCACACAAGAATTAGGTATTTGACAGACCAGAGTTGCAACTCATTGATGTTAAGTAACTGATCAAATACGAAGTCTTTTTGTAAAGTAGTTTCTCAGATAAACAAAATATTTGTTGGACCGGACAAACAATGTGGTTGCACTTACTCCTAGATTGAAAGTATAATACAGACAAGTAATTCAATGATTATATGTACCGTAATAAAAAAAAAAATACCCTGAAGACAAGCTTAGGTAACTTATCTGTTGATACAGAATCATTAAATTTTATGCTCTAATATCGACTGCTGTATGAAATGTTATACTACACTGTAATTGACTAAGCTGACCCGATTTAATGTGGGTATGATTTTGTGTTCATGTAATGCCTATAGAGTAGGTCGTTAGTTTTCTTGTTTGAATTATTTCACATTTTCATGTCGGGGCTTTTTAAAGCTGACTATACGGTGTGGCTTTTTCTTTTTCTTTTTCTTTTTTTATGTTGAAGGCCGTAGGGTGACCTTTAATAGCGTTTATCTTCTTCGTTTTAACTATGGTTGATAGTTGTCTCTTTTGCAATCATACCAAATGTCCTTATTTTTATATCACCCCCCTTACTTTACAATTGTTGCACATTTTGTGATGTCGGGGCCTTTTGAATAATTACAACTATGTTCAAGCTGTGTTGTCTACATGAATGGTATGACTAATGTCGGACAGAGATACAAATTATTTTTTTTATTATATATATCTGTTTTGTTTCCGAACATTTATTTTCTAAAAGTAATTTACTAGAATACCTTTTTTATCCAAGTTTCGTAACAATTCATAAAGGTTTGGCAAATATGATGCTATTTTACGAGGAGCCAGCTTTATTAATTTTCATGATTAATATCATTGGTTTAAAAAAACACCTTGGCTCTACCACTGAAATTGACAACGTAGTATAGTGAACGGCGGGAAAGATTTCATGACGTTGTTGCGAATAAAACTTATTCCAACGTAGTTTGGCGCCTTATTGGCAAACGTCCCGTTTGCCATTAAAAATTAAGGTTTATTGCTTTTATTGAAAAAACAAGCACATGGACCCCCAGTTTTTTCTTTTGCAATCGATCAAGTTCTGTTTCAAGAACGCTCCGCCAAAATTTTAAGAAAAAATCAACGATAGATTTTTTTCTGCACTTCAGTGTAGACGCAAAAATATTTTCAACTCCTTTATTTCACTTGTATTAAAAGAATTTAGGATATAATTATTAATTTCAACCGTTAACTTGTTACAACATGCTGATGCCATGGATCAAGGAAACATTTTACAAAAAACCCGGTTAAATTATGACTGTTCGTTCAAAAGTATTGGTACTTTCCTTAAAAGTCCTTATTTATGAAATTTCAGGGTTTTTCCTTCAAATATGCAAATTTCGAACCAAATTATCTCAAAAAGTAAGTCATGAAGGTATATTTTTCTTTGCATATATCAAAAGTACACATCGAAATTGACCTTCTACCAAAATTTCAAGAAAAAATCAACGAGGGATCTCTACTGTATCGTATGCCCTTAACCCTCTTGCTGCCGAGTTTATTTCTTGCTTTGTCGCGCCAAAATCATCTTGACGTTTCATATTTGTGACGTTGCAAAAGTTGTGCCTCTCTGTAGAACAGCATTTTCCCGCAGTCCATAATTTTCCCCGCGTCAATTTAGCCGTAATTAGAAAAAGCGATGTAGTAGTGATTTTATAAAAATTGTTGCTCTAAGATTGTTATAAACGATGTTTTTAATACAACATTATTTAAAAATACAACTTTTAACCATGAAATATAATAGTTTTTTTTATATATTTCTTATCTTTTTAAAAAATAAAGATAATATACTCATTGCTAATAATTTTACAAGCGCTTTAGTTTTATCTTTGTCAAGTGAAATGCATAACTGATTCTTAACCACCCCTAAAATACTAGAATATATTTATCCTAGTTATCTGATTAGCTTAGTAAACCTTGTTATAATTGATAAATACCGTAATGAATCTCTTAAATAATTATATTAAACAAAACAACGGCAGCCAATAAAAATAAAAATTTAAAACAATGCATGTACCAATAAAAATAAATAAAACTCCGAGCAGCCAATTCTATGAACTACTTCGTGTTGTAAAGTATTATATGTGTCAGATTAAATTTTTCATTCCAAGCTTTGTTTCGGTACGCGAGGAAAGAATTTTTAAACGTTATTATCCATATTCCTTTTGTTAATTTCGTAATCATGTTTATTATTATTTTATTGCCCAAAATTTTAGAGAAATTTTTGAAATAAAAATTTGAAAAATAGAAAAACGAGGGAAGAAATTTTAAAAGTAATTTCTGTTGTTTACATGTGAGCTGAATCAATCATTATTGATGACTTGAAAATATTTTATTTGTATTTTCATTTTTTATGATGAAATACACATTGTATTTGGCATACATGAAGTATCTTTTAAAATTCGTCGATTGATAGATTGTTGTTTGCTCAACGTTCAGTGGCAGGTATTTCATGCAATATTAAGGACGACTGAGATCTAATGAACATTAAATATGTTGATCAGTAGGTCCTACAAAGTAAAGGATCTGAGATGAATGGCTGAAAATGGAGATTGCCACTGGAAAAGGATGATATGTTGGATAGAAAGAGAAATCATTGGGTCACCTTCTTATTTAACATCCCAATTTCGAATTAAAAATATAATTTTAGATTATTGCTTCCATGATGAAACAGGTATAAAATGTATTAAAATATCAAATCGTAATTCAAGTATATCGTGTTAAATTTGTGTACCGTCTTTACAAAGAAAAAAAACTTAAGAAATCAATCGCGGCTTTTGAGCCCAACAAATATTTACCAGTTCTCTTAAATACAGCGTTTATTGTAATATTAATATTTCGCGTTATCAAAAATAACAGTTTCCTTTTCTGTGGTTATTTATGAGGACTGCGATTATTCTTTAACATATTATGATTAAAAGAAACATGAATTTTTTTTTAAACAAATTTCTCGAAAGTATGTGACATTTTGCATGAAAATATCGAACTACATAATTAGTAAACACGTTAAATAAGTTGGTATTATAGTACTAACAAGCTTATGATCTTGTGTCATATGTTGACATCCGTTTTAAGTATAAAAATAATGCATTTAATTCGGTTTGCTTCGTTCCCGCCAACATCGTCCTTTTGGCGTCGTCTTTTGACGTTGTCAGTGCCCCTCTGTATTGTGACGTTACTATGGACCATTGACGTTCTACACAATCAACAAGTTTTGTGTGTAGAAGCCATAAATGTCCCTTTGGCAGCAAGAGGGTTAACGTGAGGGTACCCAAATTGCACCTATTTTGACAGTTTTTTCACCTACGTTTTTTCATGAACCAGACAAAAGTTTCCATTCTGTGTTAATTTTGTAGATGTATCATTACTTACTATATGGCTCCACCAATTCAATTTTGAATCCATAATGAATCATAGAAAAATGGGTTTGAACGAACCTTCAAACGATCCATGATTCTGTAATGTGGAGTACCCAAATTGCATCCATGCTTAAATTCACATCCTTAAAAGTCGAATAACAGATCTTTTGTTTTATTTCTTTAAATATTTAGAACAATTTGACATACACCTTATCGCTATTCCCGGCTGACCCGAGAATCTGTCCCGCTTGAACTTTTGACGTCATACAACAATCACTTTTCCATTGTGGCGTCAGATATTTTGTATTGTGACGTCAAAATTTTACGGGAACCTATGTGATGGCCAGTAATGGCGGACAAATAGCGATAAGGTGTATTAGTCCATGCTTACTGTTCATTTTTTATTAAATGAATGCTTGTAATGTAACATATTTTGTTTGCTAATTTTTAAAAGATGACTTTTTGTGGACGTCGCATGGCGACGTTTCCGTACATTTTACTTTTTCCAGTGAACACTTCATCTGTTGATATATACTGTGAACGTTTTTTGTATATTCAAATAATTTAATTTTGGAAGTAACGCGTCTTCTGATTGGCTGACGTTGTTTTGTTTATCAGCTCATAGACATAATTTTGTCATGTGACCGTGACGTCATCTACGTTTTTTCATGGTTTACTCCGGTTTAAAATGGAATTTAGAATTAAATTATAAGAAATGACTGTAATATTTTTTCTGTCTATTCGAAATAACATAAAAAATGTGGTGCACACTTTAAAATAACCCGCTACGCGTGTTATTCAGTGTGTACCACATTTTTGATGTTATTTCTTCATAGACAGAAAAAATATTACAGTCATTCCTTAAATATATTTTATATCTATGTTGAAAGACGTGTATAGTGTCAAATCTCAAAAATACAAACTGTTTAGTCTATAGGAAAACTTGTAAGATTTCCGCTGCTATATTTGCTAAATAGGTGCAATTTGGGTACTCGGTGCAATTTGGGTACTGTGACGTTATATGTTGTTATCCCTACTTACAATTTTGTCTCTCAAAATTTGTTTATATTATCAAAGTTCTTTACCGATTGTGTTCTGAAATTCAACTATTTTTGACGAGGAACGAGCAATGAATTTTAAGTTACCATTAGTCATTTAGATTTTGAAATGGCAAATTGCATACCTGCACATATCTGGTAATATATCATCCACCACGAAACTTGAATATGCATTAATAATATCAATCGGTGATTGTGTACCATTCACAGGATCACTATGTTCAGTCTTCTGAATGTATATGTAAGTTGATGGTGAAGGTCGAGTGCCACATATGAAAGGTTCATTAAATAAGTATAAACACAATTCATGATTCTGAGGATCTACACGTGCGTGCCCTACAATAAAAGCAATGCTAAATGTAAGTATAGTCTAACCGGAAAAAGACATAAAATTGCTTACTTAACTTAAAAGCCAAATTTATAAATGTAGGACTCAAATGATGAAAGAGCTCTGTAATTTTAGAACTTTTCCAGGTTGGAATAAATAGCGATAAGGTGTATGAGCTGAGCATTGAGGGGTGGATAGCTAAAAAGGGAGGTGGGAGGTGGGAGAAGAGCCTGAGGTAGTGGGAGGTTGGAGGCAAGGGGTTGGGAGGTGGGAGATGAGAGAGAAGAATGTTGGAGAAAAAATAGTTTCATAGAAATTTGGCTTTACATTGATACTCTTCTACAGGGAAATCTTCACCAGAGACCACCAATTTTGTTTTTCTTTTCCATTTATTTCTTTTTTATTACTGTTTTAATATTTTAAATAGTTTTTTCTTTTTCTTTTTCTCTTTATTATTTTTTTCTTTAATTTGAATTTGAATTCAGGATTTTTGGTTTTTCAAACTATTTCAATAAATGTTGAATTCAGTGTTTCATGGTAAGAAAGTTTTGTCATAAGAATATCAGTTTATGTGTGTGGTTTACATGATGGTCATTAATTACAATGTAGTTCTGCACAGTTAAATATTTAGTAGGAACTGTGAGGTTTATACAAATTATCTTACAGCTCGTTTCACTAATTCACTAATGTTTCTATTTCTTATGAATCCTAGGATTTTACGGAACCCATTCGTTGTAGAATCTGTTTAATAAGAACGGTTAAATAAGATGTCAGTATTTCCTGGATACTTTTTGAAGTTTTTCTGCTTGAGAATGATAATATGCAATGAATGATACATTATATCTATTCAACTGTTTTCTTTTTCTTTAATTCTTGGAATTTCGTTTTTGATATAATTTGTTTTACCAATTTCACTTTATATCCCGTAAAAAAATAGTTTTTCAATAAAGAGTTTTTTCTGGTTTGAAATTCACTTTCACAAATAATACACAAATGATTAATACACGATGGTCTTGAATATATAAAAGAAGATGTGGTATGATTGCCAATGAGACAACTCTTCACAAGAGACCAAATGACACAGAAATTAACGCCGTACGGCCTCTAAGTATAGATTCTAGATCACCTTATTCACAACACGAGCCCGAAGATATTAAGTATAATTGATGAAACAAATCAGCGATGAATGTTTTCGAAATTAGATAAATAATTATATTCAGCAAATATGCAGTTACTTTTTTAAAGTCATATTTTCAAAGAATTGATGCATTCAGGGCATGACTATGAGTATGTAAAGAGGATTGTTTACGCTGTGGATAGTCAGTTGCATAATTGAAGTGTTGTATTCCCCAGGCCAGTGTGGGCCACATATATGCAAAATTGGCAGAACTGGTTTTACACATGGTTGAAGATCCGGAAAATATCCACCTGCTCCCTCCCCCAAACCGGAATATCAAATGGTCGTCCCTTACTGATTTGAAAGATTAAAGATGGGTTTAACATTTTTTTATAAATATAAAATATTATAATGAACAAAATTATAACGCATCAAAGAATGTAAGTAATCCACACAAACCTAGTGTTGCTGCACACAATTTCCCATTCCTGGCATGTCGAAAAACACTCAGACTTAGCGTTTAATCAAGTGTGTTTACTTTATACGATTCAGATATCACTACATATGCTGACATCGATGTGTCTGATGAAAAATGACAATGTTATAAAATTTCTTTCCTTCGGAATTTAGTTCAAACGGGGTTTAATAAATTATCTTAACATAGTTGTTATAATATTATATTATTATTATATGTTATTCATATTCACGAAGCTGTCTTAGGACTAAGACATGTCTTAGGATGGTCTTACGACATATCTTAGTCCTAAGTGGGTTTCACAAAGTGGTCCTAAATTAGGACACCTCTTAAAGTTGGTCATAAAGTTAGGACTACACGAGAGGTGTCTTATGATGGTCTTAGGATAGTCATAAGTTTATTTATATAAATTACACTAATTTTTTATATTAATTTTGTAAACTATCTTATTATTATCTAATTATCCATTCTCCTTTTCCTGCTCACAACTAAATCTTTTTTGGTTGACGGATTGTCATGATTTGTCAACAATAAACATTCGATGTATTGGTATCAGGAATGCACGATTTTATCCTTTAACCCTATTATAACCGATTCAGTGACAAAATGAACTCAACTTACTTATACAAAAAAAAATTATAATTTTATTCCTTTTTCTCGATTTTGTATTTAAAGTTCATATGTATATTAGTATATTATCAATAGATTATTTATATAAATTACACTTATTTTTTATATTGATTTTGCAAATTATCTAATTATCAATACACTTAGTAATTTATGAGAAATACATACTACATTTACATGAATTTTTCCATAAATCAATGTTAATATTTAAAAATTTAAAGAACTTGCAACAGGTTTATGATATCTTTGCTAAGATCATCCTAAGACAGCTTCGAGACGAGGTCTGAGATATGTCCTAGGATAGTCATAAGTGGATCATAAGACATGTCCTAAGATATATCTTATGACAGGTCTTATGATAGCTTCGTGAAACCGGCCCCAGTGTCATAAAAATTAAAAGCAAGACAAATGAGGTCGTTTCGGTAAAAAAAATGTTGGAATGTGGGTGTAGGGATTAAAAAAGTGGGGATGTGGGAACAGAAAGGGAAAAGGAAGTGAGAAAACTACAAAAAAAATGTTGAAATTGTGAGATAAGCACCCCTGAGTCGCCCCTCCTCTATGTGACCCATTGTTGTCTTGAGAAGGTACCAATCAGTCGGAAAGCTGACCCCGGTTTGACCCCATTTCTTAAAGCAACAATGGAAGTCATGTGACTACCATATTTGGGCATTTTTTGGGTCATTTATTCTTCAACTGAAACAAGTCTGTTTCCTCCAAAAAGTCATATTAAATGAAATCGAAGCATGATGTACGTTACAAATGCGAATTGTGTATACTTTTTAAAAGTTCTAAAATACAAATTGTTTTGATTAAGCGTACTGAATTAGAGTACGAAGCCTTCAAACCCCAGGTCGTCAGTCGTCGTGTCAATTTTTTTCAACACATCAGTTGAAATCTCTTTCTTAACTTCAGGGGAACCTATGCTGAATTTAAAATATGTGATGAGGCTTTTTATGAACTAGCCCGTGTCAAATGTATGCCACCTAATACGCTGTAATACGCAAATGTGCCACTTCGATGTTTCTAACGAAGCGGTTCCGATAGCGATTTACGAGTTACGTCCGTTTGTTGACACTTTTTCATGAACAAACTTATTTGTACTTTTCATATATTAAGCATCATATGCTGTTATTTACAAGTGAATGTTATTAAAATGATTAATTATCTTTTTACTAAATATATTTTGATACTACAGACATATGTAAAACAATTAGGTAAACACATTTTATCATTTTTAAAACAGTTTCAGAACTGAAACAGGGCTTTAATCATTTATAGTGGGTCTCATTGGGGTCTAAGCGTGACCCGGGATTGCCGATTTTCTGTAAGCGTGACACGTGAAAGTCAAATTATTGTGCCGTGAAAACGGGAAATGAAGTCTAGCGGGACACGGAAAATTACAAAAAAATGAGAATTGCTTACGTACATAGTGTAAGCGGGATACGGGAATCTGACAAAACAGTAAGCGGGATCCGGGATCAGAACCCCCCAATGAGACCCCCTTTATACAGTAAATTTCAAAATACATTATTCCATGAGTTACATTAAGTATTCTGGTAATTATTTTTACTGCTGTTTCCAAATAATATCAACAAAGAAATAAATTTCTACTACTTAAAGGCCAGGACTAGCCTAAATATGCATAAAACTGGATCTACACAGGGTTGAAATGTTGAATTCTCTTTCAATACTGATACCTGATCCTAATGTTTTCATATACAATTTATGCATTAAAAAGAAATAAGAATAAAAGTATTCTCAATGTAAATTCTTCATAATTTGAAATAAAAGGAAATTGGTTTAAAATCTGTGTATAATTATATTTGAATTATAAATATAACAATAAATTTTGTCTCCTTGATTCCATACAATTACAGATTACAGGTTTTACTGAATGGACTCAACTTATAAAAAAAGCCTAAAACAATGGATAATTATTTAAAGGTTTATAGTCATGTACTTGCGAATAAATAACAACGAGAAAGATTTAATCTCATATTTTTTTCTTCTATTAAAAAAAAATGCATAATTATCAAAAGACAAAAGTATTTCAGTGAGGTTTCTGAGTGCTAAGTCAATATTATGTTTTAGATCACAAGTATTATTCAAGTAAGTTACACTTCATGTAAATTAATGATGAAAATGCTTCTGAGTCAGAGTGATTAAAATACAAGTCTGAAAGAGATTGTTTTAAGTTAAAAGGACAAGGCTTTTATGTTTCCATTGTACATGTAATATTTGCATTTATTTTTACAGGATTCCTTCATCATAAAATTAGCTGAAAGGTATACAGATTTCTGGAAAGACAGTCTTTTTAACGACCAAAATAATCCTAATGGAAACAAATTAAGAACATACAGAAAATTAAAAAAAGAATACAAATTAGAAATTTTTTTATTAATAGATTTAGATCGATACATGATATCAAATTTTATAAAAATAAGAATAAGTAATAGTTATCTAAATATTGAACAGGGTAGACACCGTAAATTACCTTTGGAAAAAAGATTATGTCCTCTCTGTAAAAAGGAGGTAGAAGATGAATATCATTTTGCTTTAAAATGTCAAATTTTAGAAGAATGTAGGCAAAAACTTTTTCAGGAAGTAGAGAGTATAGTTCCAGATTTCACCAAAATGTCTGATGAGGAAAAATTTGCATTTATGTTTACATTTAATGAGTATGATGTAACTAAAATTATTGTCAAGGGAGTTAATGATTTATATGTTTTAAGAAATAGCCTAGCTGATAAGAAGAACTAATCGATGTAACAAAGTTGTGACTATTCTATATTTTTCTTATTGTATTTGTTATGATATATTTTATAACAACTGTATTATAATTTTTGTACTTTCAAATTTGCAAAAGTATCACCTCCTCCAAAACATCTAAATATAGTCTTATAGAATATGAATGTTGTTTAAATTTAAATATTATATGTTTGTAATGATTGTCATGTTTGTCTTGGTAACAATCCAATATTTGGATTTTACACCAATAAAATGATTTATATGATTTATTTATATATATTTATCATAAAAAATGAAATCAACAATGAATAATATTTTTCTAGTCATCTTAAATTCAAGGTTGCACAGACAGTTAAAATTTCCTTACCTTATAGTTTTAGGTAACGTCAAACATTTCACTTAAGTCTTAAAAAGAATAATTAATCCAGTCAAATTGACAGCTGAACTCGCCATTGCTTTTTCCAAAAAACACACTAAATGTGTGTACATTCTGTTCAGATGCATGTTGAAATCGATGTGTAAGACCAAAAAACTACAATGTCAAAAATGTATTTCTTTCGGAATTTAGTTCAAACGGGGTTTCCTAAGGGGTAACAGAAATATTTTTATAACTTTGAGATACGTATATTTTTTTTATAGATTATATATAACGTTATAATCTTTGTTTATCTGTGAAAAAAGAAGAAAAAACTAACAGACTACATTTTACCGTATTTGTTAAAGGACGGCCAATTTGGGTATTATTTTCTCCTGAGACTACAACATGTGTTATAGTAGTCTCGGTTTTCTTTAATAATCAGAAACATGCTTAAAAGATAGAAAGACATCTATTTATGACTCCAATGGCAAGTAAAAACAGAAAATAGAAAATTTTCCGAATTGCCGCCAATTTATTTTTTCCGCGAAATTAACGCAATTTCAGAATGGCGGGCTTTAACATCAGTCCCATTGTTGTCTTAAGGTAGATAGGGTGTCTTCCTCCATCTTGGATTTTGAAATACCAGAAAATAATCGGTGTAGACCTTTAATAAAATGTGCAAATTTTGAGAGTAGTGGGTAATTCATGTGTAAGAATTTTCATTTTAATATAGAAAATGACATGTTTTATTATATTTATGGTTGTATTTTACAAAAAACAGAATACTTTTGTTTGATTCAATTTTTTCCAACTTTGCCACATAAGGGGAGGCAACTCAAATGTAAGGGCAGATAATTCAGATAAAGTTACTTTTACAATAGAATGTGTTAGGAATTTGTCTATTTTATTATGTAGCAAGAAAACGGGCCCGGTGACCCCATTTTTTCTTTTTCTTATCTGAAAGTATAATATTAGAGCTATCTTCTCATATTTTATCTCAAAATTCTATGGTGTAGTTTTCGTTTTATGGCAGAAAATTGCGTTTTCCATGCATAATCTATACAAAATCTGTCAATTTTGCACAACCTGTAGCGTGAAAATAAGCCCCGTGACCCATAATTTTTATTATTTTTTTTAAAAAAGCATGATATAAACTACATTTTGGCAAATTATTAAAAAATTCTATGGATTATAATTTAGACACCCCATCTACCTTAAGAAAGTAGAAACAACGGTCGTTTCTAAGGGCTTGCTTTCCGACTGAATAACGGACGTTCCTTGGATATACCAGTATTAAATGGCTTGCCTTCTGACTGTTAACGGTGCATAATGTAATATACGTAATACATAGATTATAACATGCCCTTTTCCATATTGGCCCTGTTATCATCCCGAGACTCCCATATCGGCTCGAGGCTTTAGCCGAGGGCCGATATGGGTCGAGGGATGATACCAGGGCCAATATGGAAAAGACATGTTATAATCTATTTATGACATATTTAAGTTCTGCAGTAAAGGGAAAAACGTTCAATTATGACTATCTGATAAACTACAAAAGGTAATATCTAAACAGATTTATCACATTTTCCATATTTTTTTTTTATCATGTAGATCTACTGCATACATATTTATTGTAACATTCCCCTTATTTTTGAATATGGTACTACACAAAAGCAATAATTTGGCATAACTGAGGCTAAAGCAATAAAAGTTAGTTGCACATTGTTAATAGTAGCTATTGTAGCAAAACTCTCACAATTTTCAATACAAACAGTGAAACACCGTCATTGTTAGCCATTGCCGTTAAGGACGCAATGACGTCACGTCATTTGGAATCAGGGCACAATAACCAATAACCTCTTTTTTGCCCCGGGGATTTTGAGGTTATTTCATATGCAAAAACCCAACGTATTCGTAACAAATATGTGATAAATATTCTTTCAATATTTGCATTGAAAGAAAAGCAGAAACTGCCCTAGTCCACATAATACACCTTATCGCTATTTGTCCGCCATTACTGGACATCACAGAAGTTCCCGTAAAATTATGACGTCATAATAGAAAATATCTGACGCCACAATGGAAAAGTGATTGTTGTATGACGTCAAAAGTTCGAGCGGGACTGATTCTCGGGTCATGCGGGATTAGCGATAAGGTGTATTATGACGTTTTGAAAGGCTATTTTAATTTTTTGCTGTGTCGTAGGAAGGCGTCACAGAAAAAATAAAATAAATACTAAATAGGCCTAGCTTTCCAAGACATCATAATTATATGGACTAAAACTGCCCAAGTAAAGCTAAGCACCAACTTTACAGCTTTGTCAAAAAATATCATATTAAAAGACCTATGAGCTACGGTTCCACAGCTACAACTTTACTTTTAAAGAGAGTGAACTTCGTGTATAATTCTACTTACCATCAAAAATTAAAAGTGATAAAACCAATAACAACAACATTCTTATCAGCTTATGTTATTTAACAAAAGACGCTGATGAGGCGTAAAACTGTGTTCTACCCTCCTATTGCCGCCGAGTTTGTTTCTTGTCTTGATGTAATGATGACGTTGCAAAACTTGTGGTTTGTTACAGGGGAGATAATGACGTTGCTAACGTTAAATGTTATTTTCGCGACGTCAAACTGTGACCTATCGGGAAAAGATGCATTTTTCGACTGATTTTTATCATTCAGACTGATTTAACTTGAAAACGAGTTCATGGACCTCTCTTTTTAAATATGACACTTGGCTTGATTATGTATGAAGATTATGTGTGCCAATTTTTATGAACGTTTCACCGATGAATTTTTTTTTTAAATTAGATAAATATACAGCCAAAAATGCCGGTTTTTTTCTTCACTAAAATCATGAAAATGTGATAAAATGAGCTATTTCCATAGAATGTTTACACAAATTCAAAACACACTTATGTAGAGAAGATATTCCAGATGTTTTAACAAAAATACGCTTGCGTTTCTATTCTGAAATAAAAAAGTTAGGTATGATTTTTAAAAGGACAGAAATGTCCAGTTAATGTCTAAAATTTCGACCCCATTTATCTCTAAAAGTAGCACATGAAGGTATATTTTTTATTACATTTTTGAATTTCCTATGTGAAAAATAGCTTGTATGCAAACTTTCGTCAAAAATTCATCGTGGGATCAAAACTGTATCGTATGCCCTAAAAGGATTTAAGCTATGGTGTATGTCAATCAGGTCGATGAAGCCATGTTCACATTAAAAAGATATTGCCCTAAACTTGTCATCAGTTCTTTTTTATAAATTGTTTGATTCTAAACTTCTTGATAAAAGATCATTTGTTTCTTATCCGCCACACACACACACACACAAGATCACACAAGATAAATGGTGAGTGCCTTCAAGCGTAAGAATATTTTTTTTTCCCCATAATTCTCTAACTTAAGGGTTTTAGCAAGAAAAGAAATTCAAATATGCATGTTTGCCAAAAAGAAATAGTTTTGCTATTTTCAACTTAACATTTAGCGTTTGGTATGTCGGATTACTGATGTTAAAGTCTTAAATTATTATATATTATATTACAAACTTAGTGATAACTTATTGTAAACTTTTTGAAAAATATATTTGTCAAAAAGGAGAAAACATATTTTAGTAAATTACTGGAATTAAGCCAAGGATTATCTATCATGGCTAAAATTACGAAAACAACAAATTTTCAACTGGACATATATCTTCATCGATTTAGCATATACACCAAGCAACCAGTTTTTTGATGGGGTTCATGTTGCTCAGTCTGGTTTTCTTGGTTGTGTTTTTGTGTACTGTTGTTTGTCTGTTTGCCTTTTTCTTTTCGACTGACACCTATAAGTTTCAAAATTCATTTTTTTTATAAAATAAATGAAAACAAAAAGATTACAATATAAAAATAAGGAGATGTGGTATGATTGCCAATGAGACAACTTTCCACCAAAGTTCAAATGATGTGGAAATGTAATAATAAAAACTATTAGTAGACAGACAGCTCTCTCACAAGCAAAAAACACATATCTGTAAAATATAAGGGCAAAACAGTTTCAAACAATAATAAATAAGTTTGGTGCATTAACTGTCTTCTGATTGGTTAAAAGTATTACCTTTATTTTCAATGTTGTCAATTTTTATGGCGACACGCCCACTCTGACGTTGTGTATTCATACGCCAACATGTGTAATATAAAAAGCTCTTTGAGTCTTATTTTTGATAGAAATTTATTTATAATGAATGACAATAATTTATTTTGAATTTATTGAACCATAAAATTAATTTTTGACTCTTCACATTTTACATAATCCGCTTAATTTTATGGTTCAATAAATTCAAAATAAATAATAGTCATTCATTAAATAAAGTGAAACAAACATTTTAAACTTATTATTTAGTAAATAGAAAGCAATAAATATTTCAATAAAACTTAAATTATCTTTAATTTTAGTTTAACTTGTTTAAAAATATTTTACTTTTAAATATTAATCATTATAAAACCATGACTTACCTACAAGTTTCAATCATTTGATTGATGTTATGCGCGGCAACATTACTTTCTTGGTCAGCTTAAAATTAGAAATTACCACTGAAATATGGTAACTGTCTGAAATAGGTTCTAAATGTTGCATACGTTAATGTCCTAATTACAATATGGGTCACTATGTATATGTTAGAGAATGATAATCCCTTTCTTCATGATTAAGTACGAGCGTTAGCGAGTACTTATCATGAAGTAAGGGATTATCATTCTCTTACAAACTTAGAATATTGTAAAGTGCTCAAGGCTCAAATTATCTCTTAATTGGTTGTATTTAAGAATTAGTTTAATTGTCAGTGCAATGTTTATAATTAATGCATGACATCCTTTTTAGGCATTTCATTTATGAATTAGTTTTAGTGGTGTAAGGACTTTCTTATCATATGAAAATATTTTTAAAAAAAATGCGTTATACATATATAAGTTGACACAACAAAACACAGAAAATGTAGGAATTGTATATGTTTTCTGATTGTGAGTATGAATGTAAATCATGTAATATTTTAGTGAGGAATTATCCTTTTTTTAATTTACAGTTTAAATCAATTGATACATTTGAGTTACAACAAAATTGTATTTAAGCCAATATTTTGGTCCGGCTTTTTACATCAAATACTATTTCATTATGTCAGGGAAATGTTCAAATAAAATGCCTTTAAAAGTTTTTGATATGTTCAAGACTTAATTAAATTCCTGGGGTTTTTTTTTTTTTGGATCGGAATATTGGAAATAATTATTAAATTCTCCCTCATGAATTCGTCCGAATTTAAAACATTTCTATTCTAAATACATGGCTAAATAAGAGACAAACCATAATTTAGGTTTGTTTGCTCGCAGTAACTTTCTTATTTTCTCAGCGAAACAACATTTAATATCTTGTAAACATTTTACAAATTACAAAAATATACCACAATTCCATCTATATACATTCACAATGTCCTCTAAATACATATCAATACAAACATAACTGTAATATATTATGCAGAGCTTAACGTTAACTTCGTCTATCAAAGTTACTGGAGCACATCGATAATAATCAAACGTAATCAGGACTTATATATGCCTATAAAACCCCACCCGTACTACCGCCCTCGAAATATTCGTGCAGAAAACAACAGTAACATCAGACCACTTCTGATTTACATACTAGCCAAACTTGTACCACAAGTCTAAAGATAGAAATAGAATAGGGAAATTCCAAATATAACGGAATAGAAATAAATTTAAATTCTCCCTCATGAATTCGTCCGAATTTAAAACATTTCTATTCTAAATACATGGCTAAATAAGAGACAAGTCATAATTTAGGTTTGTTTGCTCGCAGTAACTTCGATAAAACAAAGGAATAAATAATTTGAGAACTATATGCCAAGATTCAAGGAAACAGCCATTTGAGATTTTAAATTGTCTTTAATATACCCATCTTTGGCTTTATCAGAAGCCCATCTACCGTGGACTTTAAGTAACCTATCAGAGACTCCTCTATTAGCCCCCGTAGAAGCGCCACCACTTCTCAAACTATGAAGCCCAAACTTAAGCTTATCTAAACCAATATCTGATAAACTCTCTAACAAAATTTCTCTCGCTCTGGTATAGGACAATGGACTATTTATATTACATAATTTATAAACATCTTTCGATTTCATAAAAGACAGTGCTCTGAAAATATAGCTATCAGAATTCTTGCTCAATTCAGCTAAATTGATATACTTATTTAACCAAAAAACTGTACATAAATCTGTACCTGTTGCAGCTATAACAACAGAATTACCCCTTCTGTATAAATCAGTTTTGCTTTTATCAATGCGAATTTTAACATGACTGACTTGAAACTCAATATTATTCATCTTAATGTTAGCCAATTCACTATACCTCAAAAATCCAGAAAATCCTAACAGAAATAATACTACTACACGCAATTTTTTGAGATTATTATGATCTCCGAACTTCAAAACAATTTTCCTTAATATATCTGGCGTAATAGGCTCTTTTTTGTTTATAGGTTTACTTAGCAATCTCCTTCCTCCTTCATAAATAAGACCAAGGAATTTGTCTGAACAAGGATTATGTTTGAAATTAAAGTCATGAAACCATTTTATTGAATAAAAACTTGCATCTAAAATCGCAACACTGGATCCCTGTTGAATGAGTCCACCTATATACATAGAAATCGTAGTAGTTGTCGCTGGTAAACACTCAAGTGAACATGAAACACACCATTTTTCAAACTTTTTAAAATAGCACTTGTATTTCTTAATTGTAGAATTTGATCTAGACGATTCGACAAAAGAGGGTAAATCTCGTATGATACTGGCAAATCTCGAATCATTGGCATAACACTCAAATTGTTTCCATTGATCTGTAAAGTAAATATAATAATGAATACCAAGTAATAACTATAAACAAAGTAAATATAATTAACATTACTACTATAAATGAATGCGGCATTTCCCTCGCAAACAACCCAGTGCGGCATTTCCCTCGCAAACAAATAAATGCGGCATTTCCCTCGCAAACAAATGAATGCGGCATTTCCCTCGCAAACAAATGAGTGCGGCATTTTCCTCGCAAACAAATGAATGCGGCATTTTCCTCGCACACTTACTGTGGCATTCAACCTCACAGTATCTAAAAAAGTCATATACTTATATATATACAGTGGCATTAACCCTCACTGTATTCATAAACAATTAATCAACAATGTTACCAATGACATATCTAATTGTTGCAGTTAAAACATCACAATGTTAAATTTAACATTCTTACGAATATAGTCTCATATCTGATAACTGCGGCAAATAACCATCGCAGAAAACTAAATCAACTACAGTCTGTATACAACATTCAATGCATAAATCTCAATACTTCGAGAAATCCAACAACAAAACATATACATTACTGTTAAAAGGTCTCTGTGCAAATATACTCTAAAAATTTTGAGATGCGAACCTGGCATCTCCGTACTGCTAGCATGACTACCTTATCCTCACGACTATCCCGTCAACTGTTTTTTACAAATGTCATAGCTTCTCTAACCCCTT